ATATATATATATATATATATATATATATATATATTGTGTGTGACCCCTTTAATCAAGAAGTGTGCAAATTCTGCACCACTAGCTTAACAAAAAATGAACAAAAATTGTTATTAATAATAATAAATAATAAATTAATTATTAATAATTGTTTACTTTAGATAATAGTTTTTTAAATCAGGTTTTCTAAACATTCTCCTGCCTGCCATTGGTTGGATAAACATCAACCACACCATTGGCTGAGCCACTTGCAACTTGCAGAGCATTGTTTTGATAGCACACTTTTTGAGGACTTTAAGCTGGAATAAGAAAATGTGTTTTCACAATGGCTTTCTGAGTATGAAGGGATTTTTGTAGTATTTCAAAACAGATAGTTTTCACCCGTCATCCACCTCCTGCCTACAGTTCAGCTCATTTTGTTTATTTCTAACAAAGATATGTAAAATGGTTTAGGCTGCAGCCGGTGACCGGTCGGTGTGTTCGGGCTGATGGAGATTAGATGACAGCTCTGGGATCTGACTGAAATGGCAAACTGACGTGAGCCCTGGAACATGAACGCTCAGAGCAATGCCTGTAGCTAAAGCTGCATCACACAGTTTAACATCCTGCTCTGCTGACACCCTGGAGGACTATATGGGTCATAGTGGTGCTGTGGGGAAATGCGAGCACATTCGTGCAGTTGTCGAGCACACCTGGCAGCTAGAGGCTCCATTTTGCTCTAATACACCCAATAAAAAAATTAGCCCCCAGGATGCATTCATACAGTATACTACAGATTACTCCACTCTGTTGCAGTTATTAGTACATTGCTAAAACAATTCATTGCCTTAATGAAGGTTATGAACATATGGTTATAAATGCATGCATGTGTTTCAGTATTATGATGCATGTTTCAATTACATATTGTGTGTGCATGCTTTAGTTTTTCCCAGGTAAAGGGCGACAAAATCTTTTAAAAATCTAGTTTATAGTTCTCTTTGTACTCATGTTGGTTTCAAGTGATTTTGTCATGTGGTGTAAACAAATCAAGTAAACAGTATTATATTTTTCTTACACCTTCATGTTTAATATTTTTTAACAGATACATCTAAATATCATACGTTTTTTTTAATCATATCATGAGTTAATAATTAATAAATATTAAGTTTTTCGTTAGAACTTTTTTTTTTTTAAACCTGAACTAAAAACGTTTTGACTTTGATGCACATTATTATTTATTATTAGAGAAAAGTATCTAAAAAACATACATTTATGTATGTGATTATATATCTCAAGAATTATATCATATATATTAAGGCCTAAATACTTAACATTTTTCTTAAGAATCTTGTCATCTTTTCTCAGTTTATTTGTTTATTTAGTCAGTTGAGGCTTTTTTTTTTCTTCACTGTGATATCAGGGCAATTTTGTCATCATGATATTTCTCCCAAAAATATTAAATTAAAATTTAATGCAGGAATATAAAACATGCTCATCGTAGAAGAGGAGTATTCAAATCACTGAATGTGTGAAGTGTATTTTTGAATCAATTAATAGATAGCATCATGTCATTGACCTGCATACAGCTCAAAGCAGAGTTGATAGCTTCCATCTGTAACTTCTGACCTGTGAAATAAGCTCTTTGAGCTGCTCTATTGATTGTGATTTTGATATGTCTGTAAAGCGTTTATTAGCTACCATTCTTATGATTGCTGCATGTGCCATGGTGTCTCTGGTGGCCCATGCTGCACAGAATTCCCTCACTTATCACCTCTGCTGTCCTAGTTAGCTTTTACACCACAGTAAACAGCTTTTAAAGGTTTTTATTTTTTTTTAAAGCTGGAAATTGAGATTTAGCAGTCTGTTTGGCACTCGAGCGTTTGTAGCTGCCAAGCTCCAGTGTTTGGTTTGTATAACAGTGCACTGGGTTAACATGAACTTTGTTCCTTTTCTGCATTTTAGGTTGACAGGGTTTCAACTTCCCGCCCCTATAGTCAGCACAGGACCCAGACTCACACTATGGCTGCTGTCAGACTACGCCGTAAGTGGCCAGGGCTTCAAAGCCGTGTTTGAAGGTAAGAATCATGTATTAATCTTCTATTTTTTTGTCTCAAGTCAGTTCACTAATGTGAACATGTTCAATCTCTGATCTTTCGAGCAAACCCTGTAATTATGTAAAGTGGACTCTGTGCTAGCATGTGTGGCGTAAAAGTAGACTTTTATCTAATTTTATAGGCTAATTGCATTAATATGCACGGTCAATTTAAAGACTGAGAATCCGTGCACAGATTTCCTCTGGCTTACCTCAATTACCTAATTGAGACTGTAGACTGATGGCAGGTGAATCAAGTTCTCTGGGTTCATCTAGTTCAGCACAATACTAAAGGAAAATAATGTTTGATTCAGATGATTATCATGAATGTGGTTTATATGGACAAGCATTATGTTTTATATCTAATTGCAAATTTACTCATAAAAATTGTGGTTTTAAAATGTGTTTCTCCGGGTTCTCTCTGCTGTGTTAGTAGGACTGCACAATTGTGTTGTACATGTTTCTATTAATATTGATTATATATCAATATGACAATATTTCCAGTTATCCTTCTGCTATCCAATTAATAACTATCCATTTATTAAAAATGTCATTAAAGTCATTCAGCTGACAGAAACAACAAGAACAATAATAATAAGTTCTGGCAGGGTCTGGAATTGAGTTACAGGTTTTGCGTGACTGATTGTACAATTTGCTTGCTACTGCTTTATGTTGTAACAAACAAACATAACGAGCTGCTAGAGCAGAGGAAGAGGACAGGAGCGTCCAGATCCCTGAGAGATGACCTACACCAGTATGGAAAAGCCTTATCTCATCCATACGGTTCAGACTAATTCAGTCTGGCACCATAATTATGTGCTACTTCTTGTCACATGACCTTCTGCGGGTCTGCTGAAACACTGTACAGAATTAAAGAGTGATGTACTGTATGTATCACATGCCCTGACTTTCAGTAAAGACAGCAGAATAATGAGAAGCCCAGAACTCTTATCAATAGCCGATGGCTGAATAGTGATTTCCTTTCTGACTGTCCTTCACAGGAGTGTGAAGCCATGCTCATCAAGAAGAGCATCAGCATACCCAATCAACAATTTGTTTTATGCTATAATTATACACTTTCCTGTACAGTATGGAATTGTAATGAAGAGTTTTACACTATTTATGGCTCTCGGGGAACTGACTTGGCAGCTAAGCGCTCTTGGTGATCATGTGATCATGTGACCCAAGCTAGTTTGAGTCTGGCTTGTAGCATTTCCTGAACATTTCTTCTTCTTCTTCTCACCATTATTTCCCTGTGATTCCTTCTGAGTGTATAAAATATGTATTTATTTATTTATTAAACAAAACAAAAAAATCAATGCTTTATGTAAAAAATGATGGACAGTGTGGCAGTCATTATTACAAAATAAATCCCTGGATGCCATGGATGGATTTTGCCATGATGATTGGCTAACTGCATTATCCAGCTTATTATTTAAGTACTGAAATAAATAAATTGATATAAAATATTGGTCTTTATACATTATTTTATTAGGGCATTCTTGTAGCTCAAATGCACCTTAAAGGGGTGGTTTATGGCAATTTCACTTTTTTAATGTTAGTTAGTGTGTAATGTTGCTGTTTGAGCATAAACAATATCTGCAAAGTTACGAAGCTGAAAGTTCAATGCAAACGGAGATATCGTCTTTTAAAATTCTAGCAGTTTAATGCCTACAAAAACAGCTAGTAGGGACTACAACAAGTTACTTCCCGGGTTCGTGACATCACAAACCCAGATAAACCCTGCCCCCGGAAACACGCAACGAAGGGGGCGAGGCCAATCAGGCCATGCTGCGCTGCTTTAGAGAAGAGGAAGAGAAAACTAGAGGTGCATGTAAAAATCTATTCATATATGAATCGCGATTCTGTCTTCTAACGATTCTAATGGATTCACAAGTTTCAAAATTAATGTTCTAAAGCAGTGGTTCTTAATACTGCTCCTTGCGTCTCTCTCTTTCTCTCTCATTCAGCTCAGCTCCAACAATTAACTGTTACAATCATACACTTATTTTCACATAGCTATGAGAAGCGGTAAACATGGACGCATGTACAGTTGCCGTACTGTATTAAAGCTTTAATCAGGATAAAACCGTATATTAAAAGCTAACATAAGCAGTAGCATTTACAAATAACAGCATATCTAAATGTATGAGACAACAACAAACAAAAAACATAGGCCTACCATTAAAAGCTGTGCTTGCACAGGTTCTGCACGATTCTCTTCAATAATATCCTCTGCTTCTCAATCGGGCTCAAACTGATAAGCGATATTAATGACGCTGTTGTTTACAATACAATAGAGGTGAGGGGCGGGACGTTTATACACTAGAGGCGGTTTAGCCAATCACAACACACTAGGCTAGCTAACCAATCAGAGCCCATCGCCTATTTCTGAGGGTGGGGCTTCATAAAAGCAGGAAATGATCAGCGCGTTTCTCAGAGAAGGGACAGAGAGGTGTGGAATAAAGGTAAATTATGTGAAAAATAATGCGTTTTTTTAAAAACGAAGCATTAACACATAGACTGCACCCCGTAAACACAATCAAGCTTAGAAAAAAACCAGTGAACCACCCCTTTAAGTCCATTTGGATAAAAGCATCTACCAAGTGCGTAAATGTAAATCAGTTGAGCAGAAATAGATGGAAAGTGATACAACAGATATGAAATCGGTTGCCTGGTACAACAAGCCCTTTAATGTATTTATTTATTTATTTTCATTTTTATTATATATTCTCACACAGGTCATTAGTTGTTGCACTTTTCCATGGACGCCCCATTTCCTCAGAGGAAGGTGTCTAAATGAGCTCAGTATGTTTATGTTTTTGTGTATACTAGGTAGAGCCCGGCCGATATGGGTTTTTTGGGGCCGATACCGATATTAGGGGGTAAAAAAGGCAGATACCGATATATCGGCCGATATTCTTTGTGTATATTATAGTACAGTACCAGTCAAAAGTTTGGACACTTTCCCATTCGTGTGTCCAAACATTTGACTGGTACTATATACATAATATAATACAGTATATACATAAACAGAATATATATACATAAACACATTTTTTGCAATGATCACTCAAATGTGGTGATCAAACACTTATAATGGTGACAGTCCATTCAACTTTATTCCGTTGAAGTTTATTTCACTTCGGAACATTCATTCACGGATTTGCGCTACTGTCTTCACACACAGACGAAACTTACTAGAGAAGTGTGAAGTGTGACATAATATAATATAGGGGAGCGCGATGCACAAAGCAACGGAGGGTTAGTTGTAACACACGTGGTTTGAATATTTATTTTACCATAGTAAAATTTAAATTCTGGCTTAAGTAAATTTTTTATCTCAGTTTTTATTATTCATTTAAAATGAGACAAATCTGCTATTATTTTAATCTCCAATCTGTTATTTATCAGTTCAGATAGTTTTTTAATGCTTTGATTACTAGCAGAAGACACTAACCAGTTTTAAATTCCAGTTGCGCAGATGGGGCACGTTGTAACACTGCGTTACAATGTGCTATTCTATGACATTAGCGATGTAATTTACACTATTTACTGTAATTAATTTTAATGAGAAACAACGAGAAACAGGTGATTAAAGACTGACAGTCAATGTTTAATGTTTAGAAATGATTATTTCAAGACATGTAAAGCATTTTTGCTCGTTTATTTGGGCCGTCCCAAGCATGGTTGCAATGTGTTCATTGTCAAACTCCAAAATCAGATTATTTTTAATTCTTAAAAAACGCCATTATTTTATTTGAAAAAAAAAATTATTTTATTTTATTGACAAAATATTTTAGTTTGTCTTGTATATTTTTTTCATAAGCTTTAAAGCGTTTCATCCAGGTCGCCAGTAGCAAACAATGGAGCGCGCTCTGCTGGACAAATTAAGTAATTACACCATTTCAAGCATTTTATCTGCATTATATGTTCTGTAAAAAAAAATTTCATATCGGCGGCATATTCGCCGATACCGATATATCGGCGACAGGCTCATATCGGCCGATAATATCGGCAAAACGATATATCGGTCGGGCTCTAATACTAGGGTCTAAGTGTGAGATTCTGAGAAAAATAAATAAATACTAATTTCAGCCGCGCTCTCTGCTCTTTTTAAAGCAGTGGAGTTGAGGGGGAAGGATAATGGTTATAAATGAGGGCTCTGCGTCTTCATTTTGCATCTGAATTCTTCCTTTTTATCCTCTCAGGAAAAAAAAGCCCCCCCGGCGTGATGGTGAAACATTAGGGGCATTATGAGCAGTGCTATCAATTAACGCTCTCAATCAAGCCCCAGTGCAGCTGCCACTCTCCGTTAAGGGAACCACCCTTGCACAAGCCCTGCGTTTTCTTCTCTGTTAGCTCTGGTGAGAACTCATATTGAACTAAAGCAAGAGCAATCTAGCTCTGTAATGAAAGTCTGTATGACAGAGAGAAACAATCTCAATCACAGCGGGCTGAACAGATGACACCAAATTAAAAAAGAGGAGTAAAAAACCTGAACGAACCACTTGTGGTTTATTTAATATGTTTCATATGTGGGCTTGAAATGTTTATATGTACATGTTGTTATTGTTAATGGACATTATACAGTAGAGCTGGGCAATATATCGAGTTTGTACGATATATTGGTATAATTTTTATAAACTATATGATATGAGGCAATACCACCTATATCGATACACAGTAGTTTGAAACGAGCGCATCTGAAAAATAGTAGAGGACACAGAGTGAGCTGCTGCAGGGAAAGTGCATAATCCAATTTGTATAACATGAGACATGCTTATAATAACGGCTTTAAAATAACTCGTAAGAAATAGGTTAAAGCGGCTTGCCCCGACAGATGACCTGACAGACTCATGTGCTGCTGACAGACACTACTTGTGCTGTTTATTGTGTTTGAGATGTGCTGTTTTCCTCAGTGCATAACTTACATTTCACATGCATATTCTCCATCTTTAAATGTTGGAAATTCATATAAAT